CAGTGACACGGGTAAACGCTTCATGGTTCCATCGTAAAGGGAAAAAATTACGTTTATGAAGGGTGTCACCGTACGGTTTTTTTGGGTGTCACCGTATGATTTTTGAAACTGAAATGTTAGCATAAGATTTTAATGGCTAAGATGGTAAATATTCTTGCATTTGTACAAAAGACCTAGTTTCTAAAAAAGGTGGTTATAACCAGTTTTCTTTTTTAAAACTAGAAAGATGTTCGCATAATATAGCAAGATCTATCTCAATTGTAATGTTTTCTTTTATTATTTATCTATGTTGATATAATACGGTTTTTAGAAAACGATAATATTTTTTTATTTTAATAAATTATAAATTTAATATATCATAAAAAATTGAGAAAACAAAAAATTGATATTAGTATCAAATTACTATTTAAAGTTCTGATTTTTTGTGTAATTTCTTTAATCCAATGTTTTATTTATAATTTAATTTAAACTTAATAACGAAGTAATTTATTTATCGTTTAATAATATAATTTTTATAAAGATAATAATTAAGTATTTTGTTATAACTAATGATTATTCTAATTATATCTTAGATTTTTTATATTTAAAAATAAGATATATATCCCGTATTTGATTATGTTTATCTATAGTTAGTTACATAAATTTAAAAATAATTCTTTAATAAGTTACACTTACGCACAATTTACTTGTGATCTTGAATTTTAAGTAATATGCATCAATAAACAATATTTTATGCATAAAAAATGGTTTTTAAAAGTTTTTGTCAATTGGTTTATAATATAATATAGATAAAAATAAAAATATCTCCCTTTAGGTTTTAAATCAAAAAAGGCAAAATATAACAAAATTTGGGGTAAAATAAATTACCCTAAAAATGGATCAATTTATTATCTTTAATTTAACATTTATTTTAATATATTATTTTTCGTCTTTTTTTAATTATTTATTAATTTAATAAGAAAATTCGATGTCAATGGACTTGTTTTTTCACTGAATCAATGCCTTGTGTTATGTTATGTGCATATGCTATTCAACTTATAACGTGTGAGATCCGTTATGATGAGGGTTTTGATACGTTAACAAGTTCTTTTTCCTCTTTGATATAATGTACCAATCAATTATAATTGGTACGTAAAATCTTATATCATGTATCAACTAACTATACTTGGTACATGTATGTACGGTGGTACCGGTTTTGTACCAACTTTAAGTTACATATATGAAAACTCGTCATTATATTCAAATTTTGAAGAAATATTTAAGTTTTCAGGTAACAAATGTAATGTTTAAGAGCTTTTAACTGTAAAGAATAAAACTTACAAACATTCAAATGTTCAAACAAAATAGTTGAAGTTACAATGTTTATTATTCAATACATAAAGAATTCAAAGTCAGTACCATAGTAATACTGTGATACGCAACTTTTAATACAGTGTACCAACCAAGTTTACCTATTTGATACAATACTACTGGCATATTAAAACTGGTACTAAATAAGTTGATACCAATTTAATTGGTACAGTTGATATACATGTTGGTTGGTTTTGTTTAGCATACAATTGCCACCCTTATATGATGCTACGATTTTATACTCAGTATTTAATGCTTAAATATTTTGTCATCTGTTTCGTAAGATATAAAAAAACATTAAGGGATGTTTGGTTTGACGAATGTTATTACGGGATATGGATTTTCTTGAAGGATTTGGAATAATTGATATGTTTGGTTTGTAAGATTTTGAATAGATTTGAATTTTCATTTCTTTATATAAAAAAATTTAAAAAAATTATAAAAATAATTAAGCTACTTTTTATTAACTGATTATTACAAAACAATTGTTTTTAACATATTTAAAAACATTATTACAAACAGGTTTTTTCAAATCCTATAAAATACCAACTACTCCCATAGATTTTTTAAATACAATGTATTTGGAATTTCTATTCTGAATTTTCCTTTAAATCAAACATATACCCATAGATGCACCCGTTTGACCCATTGCAAGGACTACGTCGAGGTAGCATTTTGCTCTCGCAACGACCATATAATTTTGTGTTGGCTTTAGTAATAGCTTATGTTTTCTCTAGCAGACGTTTGGCACCGATCATCGAAACCGTGCATATAAACGAATTTGATCTACATCCTAAATCAAGTGTAACGAGTATTCTTTTTAATTCGCTTTTGAAGGTTTTCAACTTTAACAGTTGTTAAGGTAAAACACGTTTAAGGACTAGGGGAGTGTGCTTAAACCATTACCGGTCTTCTACTGGATAACTAAACACTTATTGTCTCTTGTCGAATAAACGTTCCTTACTCGATAAGAAATTGTTAGTCGACAAGAGATTGTGGCTTTACCAACAACCTTATCATGTCATTTTGTTAGCTGAAAAATAGGTCTGCATATGAGTTGGGTTGGCTGGGATGAAGACATTTGAACAACCCAACTCAATGTCGGTTGTTTGAAAATTTTCAAACCAACTCGATTTACAGATCTTACAACTTGATTATGTTTTGAGTGGCTATGGATTAGGTTATTTTAAGTTGGATTAACAAGGTTGGTCGAATGAATCGATTTTTTGTGCAATCCTAACCACCGATAGGGATGGCAAAAAAACCCGAAACCGATGGTGAAAACAGAAAACCGAAACTCTTGGGTCAGGTTTGGGGACATCTTATAGGGGATGGGACGGGACGGGGATCGGGGACATATTCGGGGATTTTAATGGGGATGGGGACGGGGGTGGGGATGGTGATCACCGGCTTGGTTCGGCCCGGCCCGATATGTATATATCAATTTTAATTTATATATATACACGCACATATATATGTATATATCATTAAAATAATATACTAACGTTACAATTTAAAATACTTTTATCTACTTTACCTCAACACTTCAAATAAGGCTCACGAAAAAATCTAGTTATTTGTCTAATCTTCAGCATGATGTTGATTGTATGATGCTTGAATTTCTGTTTACTTTTATATTGTACTCTAAGACATTGATTGTAATTGGTTTGATTATGTTTGAGACATTTAGACTTACATTTTTATAAAATTGTGATTTACTTTTAGTTGTGAAAATTAACATATTGTAATTTTTTCATATCGGTTCGGGTTCGGATATAACCAACGGGAAAAAAAAGGGATTTTCACCCTTCACAGGCTCCCCAACGGAGATCGGAGAAACCCGCGGGGACCCAACGGGGATCCCCGATGAGGATTGGAGCGGTTACGAAGACGGTTTTAGTTATTGGTTTCGAAGACGGAGATACCAATAACCGCCCGAACCTGGCCCGTTGCCATTCCTGACCATCGAGAATATGGGAATTCTTTATGTTGCCCCACACCACATAGGAAGAATATGGAAATATTTCTCTATAAAGCCTAGTTGGACTAGCTCTAATGAGCTTGTGCTGACTTGGGTTTGGGCTTGTAGAGAGTTTTCCCCCAAATCTCTAGTTTAAAAAAGGGTATGTATCGGGTGGGTCGTACAGGCTTGGATGGACAAATAAAAAATCTGATTAGGTTTCGGATGTGAAAACCAGGATCCAAAATTTGGATTTCGGGTTTTGAGTTGCTTCAGGTTGGGGTCGGACTCACTCACATATAGTTATATGCAATATATATATATATATATATATATATATATATATATATAATGAGCTTAATCAAATGAGAACTATTTTGTTTGTGTTAACCGTTATATCTCATCTCAACCACAAATCAAAAATTAAATTAAAAAATTGATAATTTTGGTAATTTTAACTTAAAATATTAATTAAGGGCATTTTAGGGATTTTATACATTTCATCTTTCATCTCTCATTTTTCCTCTCTCTGGCGAATCTTATTCGACGTACCTTATTCTGATGAACCTTATGTGAACACAATAGATACACACGGTGATGCCCAGATATGCATACAAGATGCATAATGTGATGCCTTTTGTAAAACAATGAAAATAATGAAAATGCAAATTGGATCTCACGGTTACCCCAAACTAATCAGTTCTTCCTTGAATAAACCTCTATATATATATTTTTCAAGACAAATCTAATCAACTGACAGGATTGATGAAATCAATAGCAGGTTTACAAATTAGAAAATATAATGATCGAGTAGGATTTAGGATTTTCCAAAGGTAATTATATAAATTAATATATTTATATAATATTTTAAATTACACACACATATATATATATATATATATATATATATATATATATATATATGCATATTTCGAGTTTTAATACGGGTGAGGTGGCCAAAATCATATCCAACTTGAACCCAAATATATTTTCAAGAGTCTGATTTCAAATTTTCAGATTTCAAGGTATTGCACAATCACCTATTTTTGGTTCAATAATATTAAATCCAAGAAATAAGATGATATAGGTTCATCGGGTTGAGTTCAAATAATAGTAACCTAATATCAATTTAATACCTACGGTTTGAAAATTCTACAAATCGATTAGACATCGGGTTGCTTTGAATTGAGTTATTTCACGTTAGGTTAATCAGGTTGTCGAGTTTTTGAACACCCCTACCTCAAAAGTTTAACAACTTTCACCTTTTTTTCTCTTTCAAGTTTCCAAATTTGAATTTCGCGAATTTCATGTTTTTCTTGGGTGAAATCCCCTTTATTTTGCGAAATCCATTATTTTGGCGCAAAAAATCAATGAAGAGGATTTTCAAAACAGCTTATGAACTCCCATTGTGCACAGATGATTCTGGAATACCGGTTGCAAGTAATCCATGGAGGAACATGATATGGATACGAGAGCAAAATGGAAGAAAAATCTATGATCGGATGCCATCATCTCCAACCGTACGAAGATCTACAACACAGGTCGGTTTATTCATTAAACTTGATACGATATGATACATTATTCATCATATTAACACAAACGTTGAAATCGGATGTCCAAATCTGCAATTCAAACTTCCTCTGGTTTCACTTCATTGTTGATTTTAGTTTTTGACGAACGAGCAGCAGTAGTAACAGCATAGGGAGAACAGTAATCGTATCCATACCACATTTCGGCCGGAATCCACTCATCGTAATCAAAAGAAACCGGCCTCGTTGTATCGCCGTATACCTCTACTCTCGTCGGCAACCAACCGTCATATCCGCTTCTGTACACATACATGGAACATATTTGATCGGTACACGGACCGTATATATCGAACGTATCGGCGGAACACGGCTCGAATGTCCTCGCCGACGGATCGTCTAATCTCGGTGCGTAAACCTAAACATCATAACATCATTATCATTCATTATCTTCTTCTTCTGCTCATATCAATTATAAATTTGAACAGAAAATCGAACCTGAGTGCCGTAAGCATCGCCGAAGGAGATACTGATTCGATCTCTGGTGTACGGAACCGAAGAGCAGCTCGTTACAATCCTTACCGTGAAAGAACAGGTTTCTTCATTCTAAGAAAATCAAACGAGGTGAGTGCAATTCTGATTTCAGTCAACGCAAATGTTCGCATTATATAAAAATCGAAAGAGGTTAGTGAAAATTCTGCTTTCAGTTGATTCAAAACATTCACATTTAGGAAAATTAAAAGAGGTAAAATGGAATTCTTCTATCAATTAACACCACAATATACTTGGGTACCTGATTATTAGCAGAGTTGATCTTAAATCCAGGGTTAGGTAGTGGTCTTTTGATGATTGATCTTGCTTGAGATGATGCTGAGATTAGGGCACACAGCACAATGAAACACACTGCGGTCTTCATTTTTCTCTGAAAGAGGAAATGTGAATTGCAAGAGTTGATGACAAGTGCGTTGGCACTCTAATAGTAATCCAGCACCAGTTCACTACTTGACAAATTATTTGTCATTTTTCTTGGGGTTGGTAGTCCTAGTCAGATTACATTCATTGTCCCCAAAACTTGAGATATTTACAGGATAACCAAACTTCCCTTGCAAGTGCGTTCTAAACAATTCGAGGGTTTAACCAGCAACTCAAGCTTGAGCTCACGAGTTTACGTTAATACAAAATAAAGTTCGTTTAACTTAACAAGTTGGATGCACTAACACCAATGGTTGACTCAACTCGACTAGTTCAAAAGCTCGATTAAAAATTTTAAGTCATAAACGAACTTTCAAGGCTTGAATTTTAGGTATAAGAATTTGTTAAACGAACATCGACTTCAAACTTGAACATTGGCAAAACATTCGAGTTCGAGCTCCGGCACCACCTAAAAAAGTTATTTGTGTTCAAACTCGAACCCAATTCCTTTTTGGGTGTTCCTAAACAAGGGTCACAATCAATGCACTAGAAATGTAAAAACGAGATTTATTTTGACATATATGAGAAGCGATGGCTTGTTTAACATATAAGGAGGGTTTTGTTATGGCATTGGCCCAAGCTAAGGCCATCAATATACATTCTAGAAGAGGTTAGAGAGGGGTATATTAGGGAATTAGTTTGCTGTAGTGTAGCTTAGTATAAATAATAGGGCAGTAGCTATAGTAGGGTATCCAGAATATTAGCTTTTCATATAGGAGAGACTAGCCTCTCGAATTGGTAGAAGTTCCAATTAAGCATTGTCATTATCGTTGTTCGCGGTTCATTTGGTTGAATTGAATACAATTTGGCCAAGCTTTTACTTTTCATTACTGTATTGCTTTCATCCCTGTTATTCGGTTCATAACAGGTTTCACCTTATTTGATTTATGATTTTATACCACGAGTCCACAACTAATAAGCACCTCTATAGTTGTAGGAGAAAGGACCAATCTATATAAAACTTAAAATAAACAAATAAACAACCAAATCTTGCACAATAAAATGGAGAAAACAGAAGTATTGCGTACCTTTCCGATGAAATATCCCGATTTGATGTTGATAACCAGATTGAGGCTGCGAATTGCAGTGTCCTAAGACAAAATTCTGTCTTCAATCGTGCTTGGTTCTGGACGTAGTCTAGAGGATACAACTATCCGATTGAATCAGACTCGTCAATTCCCATGGAATTGATAATATGTTCTTGAGGATCGCAATGGAGGACAAGATAAAATGGAGAGAATTTTCGTGTTTTTGAAATCTGGTAAAGGAAAGGTATTCATACCTTTGCCAGTCAACCGCATTTAACTGTCGGAAACCTCCCAGGCAGGATATGAACTCGACAAACAGAGAGTAGAAATTTGATTTCACGGTCAAGAGACCCTAGGAGCCCTTTGACCATTAAATATGTACCATGCTCCTGTCTAAAGCCCAATGCAAACTCAATTACTTTTCTCTATTTTAACAATTAATGTGAGTTTAGCCTTATACAACCATAAAAGTTTCTAAGTCTTTCCCATGTGGTGTTAGAGATTAGTCTAATACCCAACAATATCAATGCTTTTTAGTTCACTGTGAAATTGGTATACTCTTTAAATAGTCTAGAGCGATATCGTATGCCTCTATTGTTCCCCAATAATGATAAAACTGCCAAAAGGGTCACATCCATCGAATAATAGTTATACAAAGATGGTTTGATTTCCAATTGGGTCCTACTATCCGAACCTCATTTGGGTCAAATAATAGCATTCCAAATGTGTGATTATGGAATTGGTAGAGGGGTCAATTTACACACAGAGGATGGTGTATTTGACCTCACCATTTCTCATTCTAGAGTAATCTTAAAAGCGACATTAGCTAATTAGTTTTTCTGCTAGTCTTGGTCTTTTTCATGTCATTAATAATATGTGACGGGTTCAAATACAATCGACCATACAAGGAACTAGTTGATGGTTATATTTTGTTTAATTGCCATTTGAAATGAGTACGATCAGTATTCAATAGATCCTTAATACCCTAGGAAGAGAATTCAAGGTTCTAAATTGATCTTAGGTCATTGTTATGCCAAAAAGAAAATCCAACAACAACAGCATAGATGTAACAAAGACCCTCTTGACTCTCGAACTCGACCGGAAAACTCGCGAGTAGTGACAGTCGAAACTCGACTCGAACTCGATAACCGTTTCTCAAGCTCGAACTCGAACTTGTTTCAAGCTTGAACTTGAACACAAATGAAGCCAAACTCGTTTAATGCATAATATCACACTAGTAGTGCAAAATGTTAGGCGATAATTTTCTATATCTCAATACAACATACTGAGGTCATAAATCAAACTAATAGTGCAAAACCCAACAACAATGCTGAATTATGATAGCATCAGGGGGAGGACCTAGAAATGTAGGTGACTGAGGTCAGAATTAGGAATGTCAAAAATTTCCGAATTAAGAAATGTAGGTGATTGGTGAAAAACTGGAAATAAATCAAATGTGTGGGGTCTTATAAAAATTGAAAGGGTACTTTAAGCATGAACCAAGACATTTGGTGACTTGAAAGGGTCATAAAAATTTAAGTTAAATCCAGGGTCAAGACTCAAGAGACCCCATTAGTTTGCATGTGGCTCCGCCATCGGGGGATCACATATAACCAAAGCACAATCCAAAACACGACGCAATGGAGATCAAGTAACGAAAGCAATAAAACGACACGAGGATTTAACATGTCTTTACTGCCGGTTTGGTAGTGTACATGTACAGGGGAGAGATCGTGATTCGTAAATAATACATCAGAACTTTAGGATCACTATATAAAAAAGCACCCACACCTTCAGACCTTTTAATATAATCACATACAAGTAAGGAGCAAAAGAAAATCTGACCAAAACCAAGCCCTAGATTGAGATTTACGCATTGTTGCCTCGGCCATGCCCCATTCTCCAATCAGTGCCCTTCTTTGTCTTGTTCGCTCATTAAATCGTTACCTTAGCCACCAATTTCCGGCTACCTAACAGCAGCACCCCACTCCGGCGAATCTGGGCCATGACCTTACAAGTTACAACTCATGACAGTAAATACTCGATACAACCTTGTACTATATGATCATATTGATATGCTACTAACATATCAATCAAATTTGTTCAAATCATAATATGACCTAGGGTCTAATTGTTAGCACTTTAATGAGAGTCATAACTTATTCGATCATCTATGCATTACTTTTTGGTAGTGGTTTAATGATATAGAAAGTGTTTATTCAGTAAGCTTTTAAGGGGAGTTTTATGCAGATGGTCAAGTTTTTTTCAAACTTACCTCACTCAAATAAAAAATACGCTTATTTCATCTATGATAAAACCCTTCCAAACAAAAACAGACAGATTAATCCACACAGACAACTTTATCCATACATAACTTAATGGAAAACCAACCGCAACCCCTTGTATTATATATATATATATATGCACATATAATGTGTGAAATTTATTGACAATTATAATTGATTTATTTTATTATATTCTTATGACCTGTTTCAATTGTGGGTGTATTCAATATTTTTACCTCAAAATAGTGGGTGAGTAGATGCACATTAATAATGAAAATAATGTTTTACAAGCTTTAGATGAATCTCATGTGTTGTCTCTTTTTCTAATTTAATACCCAATCCACTAGTTTCACCCAATATTTGATACTCTAATGTTTGGTATATATTCTTAAAAGTAACTTTATACATGCTTTCATGTAATGTCATTTTTGTATACGAACTTATATTATGAATGAGCTTGTTAGATCTAGTTAGACCAAATTGGACCCATCATTTGTACCCGTGCCCATGAGTGCAAACAAACAAAATACACTCTTGTATCACTCGGATACACTCTCTTGTGAAACATAAAAAAACCACCTACTTCTTGTCGCTTCACTCTATGGTTATTTCTTTGAGGTAATTGGATCTATTTGTTGATCAATGATCATTAAGGGGCCATTTACCATACGCTTATCCGGGTAAGCACTTACTTAGTCACTTACCTTACCGGATTTATATGGCAAGAACCAATAATCTTACCCGGTAAGAGTGAAGGCAAGGATCGAGAGTCTTACTCGGTAAGTGAGGGAGACAACTCTTACCATGGTTAGTGCTTACCGGGTAAATTATTACATACGATACCGTTGTGGTGGACTAAAATCTTACTTGGTAAGTAAGTGATAGTGTTCAATTTACCAATAAGCATTTTACCCTGGTAGGCATTTTGTAAAGGACCCATAAGGCTGTGTTTGATACATAGGGTTGGATGAGACTGGAAAGGACAAAACTCACTGTACCAAGTTTGGTATGACATGGGAGAGGATAAAAAACTCATTGTTTCACATTTGGCGCGACATTGATCTGGGACTGGAAAGGAGAAAACGGGTTGTCCAAGAACTGTGAGTCGGGGATTGGAAAGGACAAAAATCATTGTCCCAAGTTTAGTATGACATGAGACAAGACAAAACACCGCTCCACATTTGACGCGACACGAGTTGATGACAGTAACTGTGAGTCTGGAAACATAAACTAAAAAATAACTAATCTACCCTCGTTAGATATGAACCTAATATGAAGTTGCTTAATAACAATTACTTTTGTTTTTCAGTTTAGGGATTTCAATAATATTTAGTCACTTTTTTCTTCATTTACTCTTTAATTTATGTTTACCATACATGTTCAGTGTGCCATTGAGGGTAGGACAGGGGATGAGGGGAAGGGTAGGGAGCTGTCAGATCAGGTATCAGATCAAAGGTTGAGGGTGGAGAGACGTGTGTTTCCTTAGTTTTTAATATATATTTTTTTATGTGTGTTTCTTTCACTTTTTCTGTTGTTGAATATTTACTAACCTTTACCATTTCTGTTACTACATTCTCTATTAGCCATTTGAGAAACGTGATCTATTAAGTAGTACACCTGTTCACATTTTATTTTCTTATAAACTTACTGCAACACGGTAGAATATTTTATTGTTTAGTTCTATAAACTTAAGTTTTATAAAGTAGTATATTGGACACTTAGGGGCCGTTTACCAAACACTTACTCGGTAAGTGTTTACCGGTAAAAATTTAACACTATTATTTACTTACCGGATAAGATTTTAGTCCACCAAAACGACATCGTAAGCAACAATTTACCCGGTAAACGCTTACCATGGTAAGAGTCGCCATCCTCGCTTACCGAGTAAGACTCTTGGTCCTTGTCTTGCTCTTACCGGGTAAGATTCTTGGTCCTTACCATATTCATCCGATAAGGTAATGTTACTTGGTAAGCGTTTACCCGGGTAAGCGTTTGGTAAACGGCCCCTTAAACATTTTTGACATCCTTACACCCAATTCTATTGTAGTGTACCTGTCCCAATTCCTACTCGAAGTAGGTTTTACTGGCTTTGTTTGGCTGTGTCTTATTGTTATATCAAAGATGTCAAGTAGTGTAAATTGAGCATGCATACACAAATGGAAATTGACAAAAAAATAGTCAATCTATCAAACAATTCACTTTATAGCTACCTATTAAAATACATTTCCAAAATAATCACAGTTTACCCAAATTATTTATGCAAGAAAAAATGAGATTTACAGTATCTCATTTTTTTTCCCTCTTTCTTTTAATTAGAAAAGATGGTAAAAAAGTGACTATTTTGAACATTTGCTTTAAAAAGTGGCTGTAATACCCATAAACAAATAGTAAATTTCAAGTGTCTGCTTTGATGAACCTTTCTTGATAGGATGTATCTTCATAATTAACTAGTCTTTAACCAGAGATGGGTTAAATGAAAGGTAAAACCAAACACTCCATCTAATCCAACCCCTTTGGGAAATTTAGGGGTGTTTTATTAGAGATATTAAAATGAGAACGAAAAAAAAAAAAAAAAAACTGTTTGATTTTATGTAATATAATGGGTACATTTCTTTTCGAAACTCCAGATTTTCATTCCAATTTAAACAGGGAATAAGACTGAACCAAGCATCCCCTTCATCTGTAAGATTTATTGTATATGTCAATCCACTAATTTGTGTTGAGGAGTTCCTCAATCATTTGCAATGCAATTTTATCCTCTTCCTCACTGCTTCTAGTACTCAAAATACCATACCTTCCAGACCCATACGACATCATCGTCTGCTGAACATCATCGTCGATTCCCCTTGAACTTGGATCATCGGCTTCAACCTCGATCTTGTGATCCGTCTTCTTCTTCCCAAGCTCAACCGTCATAACCCAGTTGGAATCCGAATGAACCCCCGCCCGTTTTTGCCATACACCAATATGAGAACTCTCGGTGTCGAGCCTGAGACAGGTCAGCGACGGAGACGGCGCCTTGCAACATTTCCGAAGCTTGGCACTTAACATTGCCGATAGAGCAGAAGTGGCCGTCGAAGGCGAAGCGTACGACTCCGCTTTAAGAATCGGGAAGTTCGTCTTCGCGTTGCAGCCGCTCATTAGAACCGCGGCCTCATCGTACGCTCTGGCCGCCTCTTCCGCCGTCTCGAACGTCCCTAGCCACACCCTTTTCTTCCTGCACATGCCCAAAAAATGGTATAAAAAGTTGCTACAAATGGAAAGTTTCAAGTAATTTTAGAGTGTGTTAACGATAATAGTACAGTAAAGGGTGTCGGATTTCGGAAACCCAAGAACCCCAGTGGCGTTGACGTACGCCTCTAAACTTTTTTTGACCCATTTCCGGATGTGAATTTGTGTGTCAGTGGAAATGAAAGGAAAAGAGATGAGATGAGATGGGAAATTAGCAGGTGAAAAGTGGTGGAAATTTAAAGGAGTGATGTGAAGAGACTTAAAGAGTACAAAGGAAAAAGCATATAGCCAATAATGATAATAATGTTGTTATAGAAGTACGAGTTTACTCTGTGTGTGTATGTGTGTGGCGCGTTCGGAAAGAGGAAGGGGTTCGGAGGAGGAAGAGAAGAAAAAGAAAGCAGCTTTGATAACGTGATTTACGTGGAGCAGGTGTTTGCCGGTGAGGATTCAGCTCTAGCTACTAAAGTCTTTAACGTGGTCCTGTCTCGTCCCGCTCCGTTACTTCGTCCTGTCTTGTTCCGTCCCGTTACATCGTCCCGTCGATCGGGACCAACTGCGATCCTCTATTCATTCCCCCCTACATGATGTTACCTTTGTTTTCATGGCCCCTCCTATTTTAAAACACTTTTCATCAACCACTCCCAATAGAATATTTTTTCCCCTTAATTTACATGTCTTTTCCATTTATTAGTTACGTAACAGTATTTTCAACATATTTTTAAAAATAGTGAAGATGATATTTTTGGATCTATTTTGCTTCAACAGATTTTCTTTATTGTTATCTAAAATAGAGAAAACTAGAGAAAAATTAAAGTTGAGAGAATTCCTTTAAAATTTGACTTGTGGGAAGGGAAATTAAGTTTTTATTCATTCTGACCAATAATATTGAATTATTATTATTTTATATAAATTATTTTTAAATAGTGCATAAGAATGATTAATTTATAAAGAATTTCTAATAGTATTATGGATATTGAAATCTCTAAGATAGAGATATGTAAGAGTTAAATGTAATTTTTATTAGAGATTTTTGACTTTTGGTTCTATATTTTAGAAATAATTATAAAAAAATTGTTGAAGATGATCTAATAACACACAAGAGAGAAGGAAAGTGAGAATTAGAGGATTTCCATTAGATTGAATACAAATACACATTTTTATACCTTTTCGTTACATTATTGTCAATTCAATAAATTAAAAACTACTATAAAACTGTATAATAGTAGTGATTAAAAAAACTTTATTATATATATATAGGGGAGCATTCAAATAAAAACCACTCAATTTGTAAAAACCGTGAAAATCTTATTCAATCAATCATATTTTTTCATTTTTTTGTAATTATGAGAGGTTGATTAACCATTTTTATTGTGGAGGGTGTTAATCATGGATGTTATTATCTTCATTATTTTAATTTTAGAGAAATATATGAAACAATTTCATTAAAATTTTATTAAATATTATATGAAACAATTTCATAACCATATATGAAACAAATTCATCAAAAAAGTATTATATGAAACAATTTTACAAGATTAAACAATTTCATGAAAAAATTCCATAAGATTAAATAATGAAATCGACGTATGAAGGTGATTTGTACGGTTTTTACAAATGAGGATGGTTTTTATTTGAACGCTTCCATATATATATATATATATATATATATATATATATAGAGGAGTGATCATATGAAAACCGCCTTCATTTGTGTAAACCGTGCAAACCACCTTCATCTGTCGATTTCATTGTTTAATCTTATGAAATTTTTTCATGAAATTGTTTAATCTTGTGAAATTGTTTCATATAATACTTTTTTTGATGAAGTTGTTTCATATATGGTTGTGAAATTGTTTCATATAATACTTAATGAAACTGTTTCATGTATTTCTCTAACATTAATGAAACTGTTTCATGTATTTCTCTAAAATTAAAATAATGAAGATGATAATATCTATAATTAACACATTTCACAATAAAAATGATTAATCAACCTCTCATAATTACAAAAAAATGAACAAAATGAAAAAATATGATTGGTTGAATACGGTTTGTACAAATTGAGTGGTTTGCATTTGATCGCTCCCCTATATATATATATATATATATATATATATATATCTGAGAGAGAGAGAGACCAAGGTTATTTTACAAACCAGTGAAATCTAATAAACTGTACAAATCGTGTAGTTCATTGTTTAATTGAATAAAATTGTTTTATGAAAATGTTTAATAAAATAAAATTATTTGATATGGTTCTTTTCTTGATGTTGTTGTTTCGTATATTTTTGTTTACATGTGAAAATGAAATTGTTTCATATATTTTTCATTTTGATGAAATTTATGTCATTTATTATTGATTAATCAACCATCATATATTGTTGATGAAATTGTTTCATATATTATTGACTAATCAATCTTCATAATTAAGAAAAAGTGAATAAATAAATAAATGATTGGTTGAATGAGGTTTGTACGGTTTGTTAGATTATATATATTATAAACTTAATCATTTGAGAACTCAAAAATTTGTAAGATCCATGAGAACTTCTATCTTTGGACTTCGTTTAACATGATTTTTTTAATCTAAGTATAGTTTTTAATATATTGATTAATATATATTTGTTTCACAATGTGATTGTTTCACATGTATTCGTTTTACAATGTGAAATATTTTTATGTTTCTTTTTTGTTTCACAAACGTACCAAAAATGTTCACATTGTGAACCGAGTATATATGAAACAAACACATCTTGAGAAAAATATATGCTAATTGATATTTTAAATCCTAGTTTTATATGGAAAAAAAATATATGAAAAAGCACAAGATGCACTAATTCTCAAGTTTATCACAACATTATTTCACACAAATTTTCAAGGTAAGAATTGAAGTTCTTGTATAATAACTCCAAAAATATACGTGATATTTTTATAAGTCACTTCACTTTTTGTTTATAAAATCCTTTAATTGGAGATGCTCTAATAAAAATTTGTCCTCAAATTTCATGTTTATTTTTTGTCAATCAATCATATTAAAACACATTATTAGAAAAATGAATCACAAAAAAATTAGTTAAGTTTATGTTGAATGAATTTTTTTGTGATTTCATGTGATTAATGGAACATATGGAAGACATAAAATTTAAAGAATTTCGGGATACCGGATTTTCTTTTTTTTATTAACCTGGATATCTATTCTGCTATATGAGTCGACTAATTCCAGGGCGACCACCTGTTCTTTGCAGGCAGTCCGGAATCATCGCATATGAACCTCCGTGGCCACAAGAGGATTTTTATTTCTTCTTGGATTTGAACTTGAAATGTCCAAACATTTTTGACCTTTGGAGTTTAAGTTCAAACCAATCAGACACCACCCTTATAATTGAATTTTTTTTAATCTTTATTCTTTATTTTGTTTCCTTAAAAATCAAAATCCTCAAAATCCATCCATCAATTTCTCCTTCGATCACACGACACAATATCAATAAATAATTATAAGATCATATTCAATTCAGTCCAATCAAATTAATCCATATATACAGCGTATAATATAAAAACAAACTTGTAGTTTGTTGGACCCAAATGAGTATATTTCTCTTTCTTATGGAATTGTTTTTCATCGTTAATTAATCATTTTAAATATTATAAATTGATAAGTGTCTGAATTATCATATTTAATAATGTTTATTCATGTGTAAATAGTAACCATTTATAGAAAACAAATGGGAACATTAACCATGGATCATCCATATCTCATATCTTTCTACCAAGTCACTATCGTGTTCATTGTGAAATGAAGTAAAGAATGATGATAAATGTCAATGCATTTGATTTGTTTGTTTATGTGGGTCTATATGTTGTTTCCTTTTTTATATTCATAGTTCTCATTAAGTATTGTTAAATGATTTGTATTAAAACCTGTTGTTTCAATAAATATTTCGAACAGTTATGCTTTAAATTGTAAATCATAAGAACAAAAATAACAATGAATTACAAATCATAAAGACAAAAACCATAATTTCTAAATCACAAGTACAAAAACGTAATATACTCTACATTTTAAACGTGGGTTTATTTTTGTAAAGGAAGTGATAGATTAATATAAGTAGCAATTTTTAGACTTTGAATTCATCTTTTAGTTGTTTTCTCTTTTCAATTTTCAAAAATATCACTAAGGTGACGTTTGTTTTTTAAGAGGTGCTGAAGTCTGAAGTCTAAATTCACTTCTGAATTTTAAGAGGTGGTGCTGAAGTCTGAAATCTGAATCAGTCAAACTGTTTGTTTTTACGTCTGAAATCTGAATCAATTCATTTCAATTAAATTTAACTGAAGTATCCAATCATTTAAACGAAATTGGTGTTCAAACGATCCAAGCTCACAATGGAAATCAGAAGTGGAATCACTGTTAACATCATGAACTTGATTATGATCGTTTCCAATGCCTAATGTTTTTCCATTTCCAATAAAGGAAAAGGGAAGATTGAAGAACCCTAGCTGCTAAGGAACTGAAAGCCCCTGTTTACGTTTGGTTGGTTTAAATACCCATAAATGGTTTGGATTTCTAAAGATGGAGATGGAAAAACATTAGGCATCTCGCAACACTGCCCTAAAATTGACTCGTAATCGAATCCTTCCAATGGCAACCCTAACAACGACCTCCCCGTCGTCCTCTCCAACGCCTGCCGTCGAATCGAAGCAGCCCTAAGGCAGTCCCCAAGCTTCGATTCCGAAGGATTGAACGAAATCGATGCCGAAAAACCCTAGGAGGTAGATGAAGGAGGAGGCAGTGCATCCGATGCTTTAGGAACCGGAGACGGTGATCGATCGACGATACCGACACCGGAGTGGAGAAAGGGTGGGAGGTGGCGCCGGAGTGGTGGCGGGTGGAGGTGGGGTTTAGGGAGAGAAATGGAGGTGGTGGAGGAGGGGAGCGGGGAGGAGAGGGAGAGGAACATGGCGGAGGGTAGGCGAGAGCTTGAGGCGACGCGATTAAAAGGTTTTCAGACTGCATTTTACCTCTAAATAATTCAGATGAAATCAGATGTTTTAAGCACTTAATTTAAAAAAAAAAAACAAACGCACTTAATCCCTCAATATCTGACCGATTCAGACATAAAAGGCAATTAAGTTTTTTTTTTTTAAAAA